CACTATGTTGAAATACGGATGTTGGTAAAATGGTAAAAAGACAACGCGAGTCATGCACCTGCATTGGCCAGAGGAGTAAGCCTTTTTGTTGACATGTGTTTGTTTCACCATCAAAAGAGCTGAACCCTTAAAGCTGGGATGGATGATGCAGCCTTTTCACCGGCATGTTCTTTTGCTTTTAGGGTAGACATGCCTGCCACGGGGGGGTTTAAAAAAAACAGAACGGCAGGCCCTGAGAGTGCAGTTGTTTGCTATTTTTCATTTGTTCTTAGGCCTAGATTTTACTATAGAAACTGCACTTCCAGGGTGGCAGCAGGCAAGGCAAAGCTTTTTGGATCTAGAGCGGTACCAAAAGCATTGAAAAAAACAAGAAAAATCTATATTTTCAGACTCTCTGGAGGGGGTGGGTTCCCAGCCAAGATTTTCTGAATATTCTTAGTGGCAGCAGGCAAGGCAAGGCAATATTTGGATCTAGGGGGTGCCAAAAACATTAAACAAACAAAGAAAACAAAAAGACACAAAAGAACAAACAAACAAAAAAAAAAGCAATTCTGGGGAAGTCTTGAGGAAAGGGGGGGGTTCCAGCCAAGAGTCTCTTAGAATTGTTTTGTTTGTTTTTGTTTGTTCTTTTGTTTTTGTTTTTTTTGTTTTCCCAAGGTTTATTGGCTCTTCCTAGGTTGTTATTGGTCTCCTCTATATTTTCTCGAGACTGTTTGTGTTTGTTTTCCAGTGCAAAGGACATTGAGGCAGCTTTCACAGACACATAGCATGAATACAGGCCACAGTGGGACGTTTATAGCACATAGATGGAAGTAGGCAGCAAAAACACATAAAAAAAATCGCTAAACACTGCAACTACGAACATACTGGGCATGAAGAGCAAAATATCTAAACATAAATATTCAGAAATGCATTCCAGTGAGGAACCTCTGACAAGGAAAAATTACTTATAGTGTTGTCCCATGGGGTCTGTATTTATGTGTTCCATAAAAGGGTTGATTTTTCAAGTGGCAGATAAATAAATAAACAAATATATATATATATATTTATTGCATAAAATTAAAGAAAACACACACCTCTAGAACATCTACTTTCCCAGAGGTCCAGAGGAAAACTATAAAAATAAAAGCTTTCAAACAAAGCTTTTCAATCTAGACGTGATCAATCCCAGAGATCTGGAGGTAAGTTTGTGCAAAACAATTCTATTTTATACATGTTTATAGAAAGTTGTTTAAAACATATAAATGTTTATTCACAAAGATCCTTTCTTGTGAAATACACAGCTTCTATATATATAATCGTTAAACAAATCATCATGCCCCAAGATCTGGGGGACAGCTTTTGAAATGCACCCTTGGATATTAGCCTTGAATATAGACGTGATCAATCCCAGAAATCTAGGGAACAGCTTTTGGAAAAAAACACTTACAATGTAGAAGGCAGTTTTAAATATAGAAAGGATCAGAAATGAACAGGTAAGCTTTAACATAATTGCTTGTATACATGTTTTTAAATATGGAAATTAATATTCTCAGAGATTTAAAGGAAAACTTTTGAACAAAAAGGCTTTCAAATATATATATATATATTTCATGTAAAAAATCCAGAAATTCCAGAGATGAAGAGGAAAACTCTTGAATTAGCAGCTTTAAAATATTTTGTTATAGAAGGGATCATTCCAGAGATCTAGAGGAAAACCTTTGGCATAGAAACTTTTGTACCAAGCTTTCCTAATATAGACATGCGTATTCCAAATATTACTTGAACAAGTCTATTTGTCTACCTAAAAGGCAATGTTTTGACCTAGTTCCCAGCACTCCCAGGGCAATAAAACACTGTAAAACACATGATTTTATATCATTGTGTCTTAAACTCACACCCCCAGCAACACCTGCTCTCTGGAATTAATGCAAGAATCAAATGTTCACAATCAAAACATCATATTTGTTCTAAGAAATATGAGATTTGACCCTATAGTGGTTATGCCAAAGTTTTACTATACCTTAGTCTAAAGAAAATTTAGCTTTTGCAGTAAAGGTACCCTTCTCACACCCAATTGTCTTGCTAAACTCTCACCTTCTAGCTCTGCCATCACAAGAAGGCCAGACTCAAAGGCAACTGGACACTATATAGATGCTGATAAGCCACAAAACTATACATGTCAAATGACTTAATGGAATTTTTTAAAAAAGGACAAAAGTGCACTCTCACAGCCTGCCACTCTCTAAAAAATGTGTGTCTAGAATCACACTACTTGGCTGTGTTCTTTTTTGTGTGTGCTTTTGGTTGAACAAACATTGAAACAAACAATCAAACTCGATCATAGCTCCACCGCCAGAGATCGTCACATGAAACCACAGCAGGGGCGACCCCAAAACAGTCGCCCGTGGCACGCTCGTCATGCTGTCCTCGGTGGTGGCGGCGACCAAGGAGCCTGGGGGGGGTCTGCCTGCGGGTGGGTACAATGGAGCCATATTGAGCCTTTGGTTGGCGTACCAAGGAGGAAGAGGTTGGAGTACGGAAGTGTTGAGCCATGTTGAACCTATCCAACAATGTTACGTGTTGAAGAACCGCTGAAGTAGATGTTGATGATCACCACAGGTGAATGCCTTGAGATTGTTTAAACTACTTGAGCCGGAACACCAGCAAGAAAGAGTCAGTTGAAAGCAAAGAAAAGAAGCACCAAAGAAGTGCAAATACACTATCTCAATGTGTGTCTTATCGCACTGTGAGAAGTTTAAACCTTCTTGTTTGATGGTTGGGAATCCAAACGGATCAGCAATGAGGATTCTTTTTGCGTTGGTCAAAGGGGAATCAAGAGTGATGGATCTAATGTTGCAACTATTGTGATTGATCTAACGTTCCAAAACTCAACAATCCTAGGTGTTGTTCGAACAACACGCCCTCCCCAGTGAGGCAGTCGCCATCCCCTATCATGGCAGTTGGGCAACGTTAGGCACCAACAGGGTTGATGGATGAGCTTCGGAGAGCCTGTATACACAGCTCTTCTTGTGGAGACACGATCAGCACGATTTGAGGGTGTTGAAAGCGGTCCCAGGTGGTTCGGGGTTTGATTTTCGACTGGGGAATTGGTATCTACTCTACTCTCAAGTTGTGTGAGCATTGGTTGAGAAACAAATTGGTTGTTCTTTTTTACGTCTTCAACACTGAGACTTGTCTTCACCAACACTGAGAAGTTTTTGACTGAAAGAATCCTTCGTTCCGGATCCTGCATGGCTCCCGCTCACTCGGCTCCCACGGCTCGAGTTCGACTCACTTGAGGCGTCCAGATCTTCGAGCTTCCTTCGAGGTTTGGCAGGTGGGAGCCCCGAGTTCGAAGCCGTTTGGGCTCCAACGTATACCTACATCTTCAAAAAGGCTCAAATTAATTGAAATTAGGTAGATGTAGGTATACCTGCGTTTCATCCTGCGTGGGACGAAGGTGGGACTGGGGTGGGTGCCCGGGAGGTACGACGACAGCGAGGTCCGGTAACTTGGACGGCGACCGGACCGTTGTTTGGGGTGGGGATGGGCTGCCAGCCTGGGAGAGTTCAACATGCAAATGAAGCAGGGTTTTGGGGGGGAGGGACGTGAAGCAGTTTGATCTTGATTTAGTTAATTCAATTGATTTACAGATGACGCCTAATGGTCTTAAACTTCGGACTACTGGGCCGCCGGAGAATTTGTGACCCTTGTGCCCACACGGTCGTGTCAATAAAGATGTGCTTCTTGGGGCACTTGCAGAATGGTGCGCTGGTTTTGGGTTGCCCGGCTTTGGAAAGCCACCCAGCCCTTATGTATATTGCCAACCCCGTCGAGGACCCTGGCATTTGGGTTCTGCAATGTATGCTCAGGCTCATGGGTCATCAGATCATGATCACGCTGGCTGCCAGGTGAGCGGATCTGAAGTTGCCGAAACATGGCCGGGTACAGCACGTTGGGGCGCAATCTTGCGCTGGGCAAGAATGGCAGTTCAGGCTGACAGTGAAACGCAGGTGAAGTTGGCGATTGACGGTGTCGTGCTTGGTCCCCGAGATATGGACAGGGAAATTGGGCTCACACCAACTGGACGCTACGACACAGGTGAAGACTGTGTGCGCCGACGTAACGAGATTCGTGACCTATATTTTGAACACCTCCCATGAACTCAGCTCGCATCTCTGCGAGCTGACGCAGAAGTTGTTGAGCTGAAGATTGGAAGTGTCCCACTGAGAGACTGTGATGCTCGACCCAAGGAGAAAGCTGCTGCTGTTCTACCCAATGACAAAGCTGCCTTGCAGTTGAAAAGGAACATTCGCGAGAGGTCTTGGGGTTTAGGGCAGGGCTTGAAAGTTGGCGGCTAGATCATGGGCGATCATCTCGACTGGTCAGAGGTCAAGGTGATGCCGTCAACCGGTTCATTTGCTTTAACCTTGGTTTTCCTATTCAATTGCTGTTCAGATTCAAGCACTGCTGAATGGACTATTTGTAGTCTAAGTGTGCTTTCAGGCAGAATCTTCGAAGCGTGTGACGAGAAAGGCTTTGAATCTACCAGATGGCAAAATTGGCGCACTGTCTTTCAAGGTAACAACGTACAATTCCGACCATACTTTGCTGAGCTGAGCTCGCCTGCACTCGAGCCCTGCGTCCGATTCTTTTCAGCTTTGCAAGCAGAACACGGCTCACTGAAGGAAGTGGAAGCACTCCTTTAGACCTCCATGCGTCGCCACCAAGCTGGAGCTCCGGAGCAACAACGTCCAACAACTGGGGCTGTGGTGTCCGATCAAACCCGGTGTGGCACCCCATCCGGAAAAAACCACCGTGTGGACCTGGTGAGGTCCGTCTTCCACGGCGCCTCAATACTGGCCAGTAGTACCTTCGTCCATGCGTGGCCAGCGGAAAGTGAGTGGAGTGGTGATGAGTTATTGGGGTCAGGGCATTCATTGAGCATGGCCCATTTGACGGAATTTCATCGGAAAGAAATCATTTAAGTTGTTATCAGTTATCATAACATAAATCAACCGATGCAGTCTTTGTATGACTGCTTCTAGCTGGTGACATGGGTGCGGCAGAAACTTGGCAGGCCCCCGAACGAAGTCAAGATTTGCTTTGCTGCCAACAAATCAACCAAATATGCTGTCCATTTGGGGATTTGGGGAGCTAGTAGTATGGGGCTGTGTAAGCTTGAAAGCCAAGTGTGCAGAAAGTGTAGGTGAGCTGGGAGGCATGTTGCTTCATGTGCTTGGCACATGGGACAAAGGCTTGGCAATTGCTCTGTGCGCATCTCCGGAATCTGTTTGTCACCAAGCAGAATCGGATGTCCGAGGCTGTCCCTGCACAGGTAGCTGGTGCTGTCGAAAAGTATTGCTTCACTACAGCAGCCATATATCATTTCTGGCAATTTTTGGTCCTTTAGCGAAGTGAACAGATCCAAAGCACAGCACCTTCATCCAGCACAATCCAACTAGCTCATCCGCTTTTCAGCCCTTTTTGCCGTTCATGCCACATGACATGCAGCACATCCCTGAGCCCTTGAACTTGATGCTCACTGGCTTTTGACTTCTAACAATGTGATGAAGCTGCGCTCGCCAAAAAGAGCATGCCCACCAGTCTTGGGTGGAAAGGCAGAGGGAAGGAATGAAGAAGGCCAGCCATCAGATGATGTTGCTTTAGCTGCCTTCTTGCAGAGATGCCAGCACCTGGCTGAGATTCTGCCCTGCCGCAGCTTTCGGTCAGACCAGAAGCTATTCGTCGGTTGTTTGAACTTGCAACAAGGCGTGGTGCAGGGGTTTGGCTTGGAGAGAATGCATCACTTGAACTGCGCCTGTCTCTCCCCAGCATTTCACCTGTTTCAGGGGAAGCTCCTATCCCAACTTCGGATCCGAATATGCTAGGCACTGGCAAGTGCACTCCTCTCAAGCCCTCTTCCCTCCACATTCTCCACCACTTCCCTTTTCCTCCCTCTTTGTAACCGCTACCCGGGCATCGCTTTAAGCCGTATCAACTAGAGGAAAGTGGTATCAAAATGGCATGCCCTTGAGCATTGACTTATCTATGGATAGATGAGCAGTTTGTTTACAAACATGCATGTGATGGATGTGCCATGGGATTTGCATGATTTTGCATGCCATATATCTTACAACACCTACTCATGAATAGCAAGGTTTTTGCCCACTTTCTTTTTGTAAAGACTTGCTTGAGATGTGTTGATGGGTTTTCTTTCCACCTGATGTGATTTCCTTCCAATGCGGTATGACTGTTCGCCAACTGGGACCTAAACCCAGCACTTGTACTAGTTCGCCAAGTTCCCCTGGTTGGGGGAACAATCCCCACGGAAAAGGAGCACCCATTCTAGGCCTTTGTTCTGATCTTGATCTTTGGAACCACAGGCCCACCACGGATCGCTTGAATGAGCTTCGAACCGAGCTGGGAACAAGTTCTGCCCAACCATGCACTGAACGCAAGGCAGCCATTTGTCTTCGTTTTCTACACTGGACCAGTGGATAGACTTCATCGTTGCCACGGGGACACACCCGCCCCACGATAAGATAACAGGGGACGCACGGAAGAAGAGGCCAAAAACGGCCGGCGTAGGTCGCCAGCGCGAGACGGGCAGGAAGCACACACATTGAGACGCCCTTGATTTACTCGGAGAAGTTCTCGAAGCACTTGGGCGCCGAGGTGTTTCTGCCACTCGCCGTGTCATCGGTCGACCTTCGCTGGTTTGGGGTGTGCGCAAAATGGGCGAGCTGTGGTATGTTGTGGTATGCAATGGAATGAATGCATGTGAATGCAATGTACGTGAGTTGAGATGCAAGATTCTACGATTCCACCGGTCGGGGTCCATTTCCCGACATTTCACGTCCAACCATGTTCAACGTAGAGGTTTTAGAGTACGAAGGAGGGACATTAACATAATACTGTTCTCATTGGACTCTCACTTCATGCCTTAGGAAAGTGGGTCGTCGTATGTCGTCGCAAAATAGTTTGGGGTCGGTCACGTCCCAACCAGGTATCTCTTGGATAGTCAAACGAGGCTTCTTGGCTCGGCTCGAAGTCGGGTCTCCCGGTCATCGGATCAGTCGAGCGTTCTCGCTCGAGTGTTCTCGCCGTAGCTTCGAGAGGATGGGTGGGTTGGTGCCAAGAGATGAAAGACCAGATATCCTACCAGGCCCCCCTGTTTCAATTGGTTCATGGATACCCCGCAAAACCCTCATTTTTGGAGCTATACTTAGACACCCCAAACAGGGGGCCCTGGTAGGATATAAGTGGCTGACCATCACCAGCTTTTGTGTCTTGCGGTCGATCCCCAGCCATCTACAACCTGTTGTTTTTTTCTTGCTGTGTTAAGGTATCGCCCCTGTCTGACCGCATATAGTACCACATTATATTGAAGACCACTCAAGTCGCCAGGTGTGTTTTTTGTTTTCGCCGGACATCAATTGGACAGCCATCATGGTTGATGCATTTGTACACTACATATTGGCATCAAAAGCTCTGATGAAGCAATGAACCAAACACCAAACATACCGATCCAGCATCCAGCATCGTCCAACCTGCGAACAACACTGCAGGTCTTAAAGGTTTAAAAGTACTCTTAAACCATCTTAAACATGTTTATAGGTATTGGATTGGTATATACAGAGATCCACAAGCAGGTATCAGAACCCGGAACAATGACCTTTTGATCCCTTGGTTCGGTCACGTTCGTTAGGCTTATAAGTTCGGTCACAGAACGGGACTCTGTCGTTCGGTCACTGGGAAGGTCCTGGAGTTTAGGGTTTCAGGTTTAGGGTTATCAGAACCCTGTAAAATGACCAGCTGATACCAGCTGTGTATTCCCTAGGGCTCCAACTACCTCCTGAGAAGATGGTTGGGGTGGGTTTGGGGGGTCTAACCACCTTCTGGGGATGTGGTTGGAGCCCTAGGGAAAATGACCAGCTGATACCAGCTGTGTATTTTTCATTTGTCCTCGGATCCTGAGGAAGTTGGATCTTCTCCAACCCTCCGGCAGCTTCAAACTCCGCGGCATCGGGCGCACCGTCCAGGAGGCGCTGAAAAAACGGTCACGTGGTTTGTTTTGATGAGAGGGATGAGAGGGACCTGATAACTGGTAGGAATTATGTGATGTTTTGCAGTGTTTGTTTTGTTTTTCCTTGCGATGTGTGTGATTTTCCAAGAAGGCGCGCACGCCGTGTGTGATTCTATTTGTTGGTTTTGTGGTCAAAAGACAGATGGGCCGCCAGAGGCATTTTATTTTGCCTGAGTGAAGCCAGTCTTGAAGTACCACGCATCAAAGCTTGAAGTACCAAGCATCAAAGCTTGAAGTACCAAACATCAAGGCTTGAAGTACCATCAAAGCAGGGGTCGATGAGTTCTAGGAATGTCTTAGACGCCCTCAGCTTCGATCGCTTGCTGCTTGACGAGCTTGACATTCACACCGCCCTGGTGTGTTAGCTCACATGGGAGACTGACCCCCCATGAGCCTGGCCGGGGTTCAAAGGGACACCATATTCAAATACACACCCATGTTCCTCACTCCCTCCCCTGTTCCCAGTTAGACATTAGTATCGACCTTACACCGTGTTGAAATGTTGGGATCAGCCCTAGGGACGAGCCGGGCTCGTCCGCATGAGTTTGTATGGGTCGGTGGGGGATGTTCTACGGGCCGGGCCGATGGGGCTCCGCAGCTGGCAGCAGAGGAGATCTTAAATCTGATTGAACGAGCAGCAGGTGGCGGTGTCTCAAGAGAGGAGGTCCACTAGGAAGTCCACGACGTTCCTACCAGCGCCATCCAAAGGGCGGTTATTGGATGGAAGCTCTACATCTTGAGGGGGTCTAAAAAAATCACCCGAGCTGGGTGGTGCTGGTACATATTCCGGATTCCTATCAAAGTGTAACGTGTAAAGTAAACCTTGGTCTGTCCTAGCAAATCACTCGGCTTTAGAGATCTTCAGGCCTGGAAAACCTGGGTCCAAGGGGAAGATACTAAAGGATTCACTGGAGCGCGGCCACGATCGCCTTCAGTGGCCGTGCAGAAGACGCTTCCACCAACAGAGGTTGAAGGACCCTATAGACTATCCCATAGGTACCCCAGTAGAGTCCTAGTTCAGGTCACTTCACCTCTCTTGGTATGTTTGTAAACAATCAGTTGCCACGGATTTGGTAGTGTTATGATTCTTTTGGTTCATAGCCCTGTAGATCAGCCAGGATGGTCCTATGTCGTGTAAGTTCTGACGGTATTCATAACAAGGTACCATTGCTTGCACCGTTTTTGTGGAATGATTTGTACCCAGAATTGTCCTCGCGTCAGTTTGTGGGCGCAGTCGACCAAATAATGCCAAATATATTCCGTCCAATCAAGGACTCTCCAGTGCAATTCCAGTGTCAGTACGGGATGACACCCTATACAGTATATGGAAAAGCGGATTGTTTTTGTGGGTGTCCATTACGTGTATATGTTGGACACCATGCCCCCCCGGAAGGTCACATCACCATGCCGAAGCCACCCAGTCAGACTTGAATGGCGGACGAACCCACATGTCACAGAGTTTAATGGAATGAGTTCGGTTTGCCATGGTCTTGTAGAACTGAACAGTAGAATTTTTTGACTCCAAAGCTTTGAGTCAAACACCGTGAAACTTTGATGAGTTGCCCTGAGGGTTCAGGACTTTCCATTGCTCGGATGTCTTGCTGTCGACCCTATGGGTTGGTGCGTGGTGGTCCTGGAATAGATTGAAGAAATATGCAATAATATGTCTGTCCCTTCCAGTTCTTGAATCGATGATATGTCCTTCCGCATACAGTACAGCACTGCAACTTTTCAATTATGCATGTTTTAAAAGACTTGCTGCAAGTAGATTATGATAGCCGCGGATCACGGCCACGTCGATGTGGCGCCTGCTTGATTGCAATGATTGTCGCAGTCTGCTTACGACCGATGTGGAGCCATTGACAGACAAAAGATTGCTCGAAGAAATGCCTTTGCGTGTGCCTATATAATTAGTTTAGCGTGGTGTGTCTACAGGCTGTGGCATGGGATATGATGGTCGTTCTGCACCGGGCCAGTGAATTTTGCCACTGCTGTGGCTTTGTTTGCATCCCACCTGCAGGTTGTGCGAGTCTGCCTGTCAGAAAGCTTTGCAGTGGATGCTGGTCCCTTTTTGGAACAACAACCCATCCTAGGCTAACCATGTGCTTAGTGTATGTAAAAGTCATAAACGGGTCTGAAGGGACCACCGCCAATGCTAAATCGTTGGATACGGTCCGGCTCCTTTTCCTGCAGTGCCTTCAGCTCGCCCCATGACAATCCATTACATCAGGTAGCATGCAAAATGTGTTTCCCAACTTTGACTGCACGTGGCACGTGTTGCAATATGTGGCCCGGGGCTGTTTGCTTCGGCGATTGCAAGTGGATCAATGAAGAATGACCCGAGGACCCTGCGGCGTCCGCGCACTGCCAACTGAAATGTCCAAGAAAAAACTCTGAGTTCTCTGAGTTGGCCCAGCTCCCTCCTACAGGATTGGCGTGTCCTCGACCATGATTTGTTTGCCAGCAATAGGAATAGGTTGTTTTCCTGTTGTTTGTTGTCCTGTTCATCCTTTTCCTTCTGCGTGTTTTTCGTGCAATGCAGCAGCACAATTTGTAGAAGGTAGTTTGTTAACTATTCCTCACTCCCTCCCCCGTTCCCAGTTAGACATTCGTATTAATCGACCTTACACCATGTTGAGATGTTGGGATCAGCCCTGGGGACGAGCCTGAGTTGGCGTGAATTTGTATGGGTCAGTCGGGTAGTCTACGGGCCGGGACGATGGGGCTCCGCAAGGACTGCGAGGAGATCTTAAGTGGCGGTGTCTCAAGAGAGGAGGTCCACGACGTTCCTACCAGCGCCATCCAAAGGGCGGTTATTGGATGGAAACTCTACATCTTGAGGGGGTCTAAAAAAATCTCCCGAGCTGAGTGGTGCTGGTACATATTCCGGATTCCTATCAAAGTGTAAAGTGTAAAGTAAACCTTGGTCTGTCCTAGCAAATCACTCGGCTTTAGAGATCTTCAGGCCTGGAAAACCTGGGTCCAAGGGGAAGATACTAAAGGATTCACTGGAGCGCGGCCACGATCGCCTTCAGTGGCCGTGCAGAAGACGCTTCCATTTGTAAACAATCAGTTGCCATGGATTTGGTAGTGTTATGATTCTTTTGGTTCATAGCCCTGTAGATCAGCCAGGATGGTCCTATGTCATGTAAGTTCTGACAAGTTTGGAGGGTATTCCTAACAAGGTACCATTGCTTGCACAGTTTTTGTAGAATGATTTGTACCCAGAATTGTCCTCGCGTCAGTTTGTGGGCGCAGTCGACCAAATAATGCCAAATATATTCCGTCCAATCAAGGACTCTCCAGTGGAATTCCAGTGTCAGTACGGGATGACACCCTATACAGTATATGGAAAAGCGGATTGTTTTTGTGGGTGTCCATTACGTGTATATGTTGGACACCATGCTCCCCCGGAAGGTCACATCACCATGCCGAAGCCACCATGCAAGTCAGACTTGAATGGCGGACGAACCCACATGTCACAGAGTTTAATGGAATGAGTTCGTTTTGCCATGGTCTTGTAGAACTGAACAGTAGAATTTGTTGACTCCAAAGCTTTGAGTCAAACACCGTGAAACTTTGATGAGTTGCCCTGAGGGTTCAGGACTTTCCATTGCTCGGATGTCTGGCTGTCGGTCACAGTTCGACCATTGTGTGGAAGTATGTACTCACCTTCGTTGGACCATCCGAAAAGGAGGTACGTGGGCCACGACCTGGTTAGTGCGTGGTGGTCGTGGAATAGATTGAAGAAATATGCCATAATAAAACATGCATGTTCCAAAGGTTGGGCTGCTCGCAGTAGTAAAAGCGCGCAAACATAAAGGCCACGTCGATGCGGCGCCCACTTGATTGCAATGATTGTCGTAGTCTGCTTACGACCGATGTGGAGCCATTGACAGATGAAAAATTGCTCGAAGAAATGCCTTTGCGTGGTGTGTCTACAGGCATGGGACATGATGGTGGCTCCGCACCACGCGAGCGAATTTTGCCACTGCCGTGGCTTTGCCACCTACAGGTTGCGCAAGTCTGCCTGTCAGCAAGCTCATCCTAGGCTAACCATGGGCTTAGTGAATGTTAAAGTCATAAGCGGCTCTGAAGGAACCAGCACCAATGCTAAATCGTTGGATATGGTTAGCTCCAGCTTCTTATACGACAATCCATTATATCAGGTAGCATGCAAAATGTGTTTCCCAACTTTGACTGCACGTGGCACGTGTTGCAATATGTGGCCCGGGGCTGTTTGCTTCGGCGATTGCAAGTGGATCAATGAAGGATGCCAACTGAAATATCCAGGGAAGATACTCTAAGTTCTCTGAGTTGGCCCACCTCCCTCCTTAGATCGTGGTCGTCCTTTCAACGCCTTTGGTCCTTGTTTGTACTCATTTTTTTGTTGATTTGGTTTCTATTTGCCCATGGTGGTTTGTTTTTTGATTATAGGATTGGCGTGTCCTCGACCATGATTTGTTTGCCAGGAATAGGTTTAGTTTTGTTGTTTTCCTTTTATCAAGGTATATGTTTGTTGTCCTGTTCATCCTTTTCCTTTTGTTTGTTTTTTCTTGCAATGCAGCACCAAAAGTTGTAGAATGTAGTTTGTTAACTATTCCTCCCTCCCTCCCCCGTTCCCAGTTAGAGCGAAACATCGGCCTTAGACCTTTTCACTTCAGGTGACACATTCTCACAACATTTGCAAAAAGTGATAACCAAAAGCAGAATCTTGCACCGGACCAGGAATGGTGCATATGTGTTTAGCAGAGCAAAAACTGTAACAAATGGGGGATCGTTGTGAGACCCTGGCTTTGAAGTAGCCATTTCCGTTATGCCGTTATACATACCATTGATAGCTGACCTGTTGTTGCAATGCGCCATGTTTCCATGCACGAGAGCTTCGATGGGTTCTTTGCGCCACTTCAGGCCGCTGCAGCTGGTGCGCAGTGCATCGTGTCCTCCAGTGGTGGCAATGTAGGGCGGCCCTGTTTAGGTGTCCGTGTTCGTTTCTTCCGCGCAGTGTTTGCACAATTCAATAATGCGCCTTTCTAGCACCATGGCACCATACAGTTCAGTTGGAGTCGTGAACAAATAGCCCATGAAAATACACAAATTTCAACATCATAACAGCCTGTACACCATGCTGCGTGTTCAATGTTTTCTTACATCACTTGATGTTGGTTGCATATTTATCCAAACCGTTGCGTACTGGTGTGATTCCTTTGGTTCTGACACGGTGGCACCTGGACGCCATGACTCATTCCTTGCAACCAGGTTCCTGGACTCAGCAGCACCCCCACCTGGCAGTTCTGGAAAAACGTGGAACAACCTGAAGGACCAACGGTGGTCCTTCAACAAAGCTGAAAACACTGGAACGAGTGTGATGGTGATTTTGTTGGAGGATACCAACTTGTTGGTTTTAAACGACACGAGCATATACCAACCCTTTTGGTTGAGCAACTGTTGATGGACACGTTTTACACCACAGTTCATGGCCATCACTATTCTTGCTTTTGAGTGAGGGGTGTTGCTAGAATTTGCCAGGCCTCGCTCGGCCTGATCACGCCACTTTGAAACCATGTTCCCCAATTTGTTGAGTGAAAATCACCTGTTCTTTCCATTCGCAGAGTCCGTAGAGTATACTGATGTAGCGTGCGCGCGGAAGTCGCTACAAGGAAGAGATCGACGGGTTCGGCGGAAGTCGGTGTCCGCATCCGTGGGAGCCTATCGATGACGTCGGCGGGGCCACGAGGTGGTCATGAATCATGACATCCCTACAAGTCAAAGACCTTATTCTTTGCTGGAGTTGGTCATACAAAAACAAGATTGAAGGATGTCAGTCAGACCAGGAGACTGGACCTGGGTCAGACTGCACATTTGCAGGGAATATGCATGATTCTTCCAAATCTTAAATCCACAGGCACCTTCACCAGATCGGTTTCACCTGGAGCTGCTGGTGAAGCCTTTTTTCGAGATTCCCTATGGATGCCTCACGTAGACGCTTTCGGCAGACGTCGACGGTCCGGAGACGTTATAGACGTCGGCTTTCGGCGCGGTGGCGTCCGGTCCCTCCGAAGCAGGTCAACATACCCTACAAGTCAAAGACCTCATTTGACTGGAGATGGTCATACAAAACCAATACTTACTGAGGTCAAAGACCAGGTTTTACTGGGTCTTTGGACTTGTAGGGATAGGTCGGTGGATTCGTGGATCGGAACTGAATCCCAGGCCGGCCTGGCCGCTGCCTTTGCTGCCCGTTCTTTGGGCGGAAAGGAGGACGGAGGACGGAGAACGAGGGAGACACACGGAAGAAAAAGACATGGAAACAAGGAAACTTGGGTCTTTCAACGATGGGGCCATGAAACGTTTAGTCTAAACGTCTAGGGCGAAGACGTTTTGCATGTCCTGCTGAACAATTGATGATGCGACATGTTTTAGATGAGCAAAAAGAGGTTGAGACTGATGATAGAGAAACCTTGGGAAAATTGAGGCAGAACTGAGTATAGAGAGGCACTTTGGGATCATAGATTCATGTTACAAAGGCTTAATGTAGAATCGTGATTCGACAAAATTAATACTATAGAATATATATATGATATATTTACATGATTTTACATGGGGGAATTCTCAGCAACACTCTAGAATAGTTTGCAGCTTGGACAACCTGTTGACTTGGATTGTCCAAGTCTTGCTTCGTGTCATTCTGCCACCCATGCGCCACCCTTAGCCCTTGGATGAAGAACACATGTGCAACCTTGACGAGACCAAGAACACCAACCAATCCCCACTTGGTGCTTGCAAGTGTCGCGAACGCTCTAGTTGCTTGGCACACTCCAAACGGACCAGCTACCCACCCCGAGAAACACAAGCAAAAACCACCCACCCAGGTCTGCGAATCCTGAGAGATTGCGTAGTTGGAGCTCCAGCCCGCTTTTGTTCTCCGGACTGACCCTCTCAGGCAGCGGTGGGATTTCGTGGACTCCGCAAGGGTGCCATCTCCCAAAAAGCCGCGCGCCAGCCGAGGCAACTTCGACTTGCCCTGCACCGTTCGGGGGCCGAGTGCCCTGCCCGGGGTTTGAAGAAACGAGCTTCGCGGCAGCTTCTAGCTGGAGGGGAGAAGGTTCAAGCTTTTTCTTCACCTTTTGGGGGATTGCTATGCCCCTAGACACGAACAGGGGGAAGAGCCATCCACACGAACAGGTCCAACAAAAACTGAGGGAGTCAGCGAGAGAGCTGATGCAGTCAGCCAAAGAACCTCAGCGAGACCAGCTTTCGGGACGGACCGAACAAAAGCACACAGTGGCTTTCAGAGTAGATGGTCTAAGGGTTTGGCGGCATTGGTCTAAGGCATTAATGGCGGCATTGTGCCATCTACTCTGAAACCACTGTGCAAACTGGGCTTGGCAACATTTGCAAACAACCCACCCAAAAGTTTGGGAGGAGCGACTTAAAATCGCCTGCTGCTTCAAGGGCCTCTTCAAAAAGGCTGCGAAACAGCACCAGGTCATTCTCTAATACCGAAATGCAGAGCCTGCACTAGACATCCACATGTGTGCCAAGTGTGGCATCTGCCATCCAAGTTCTGGAACTTGTTGGGCTTGAATTTGACAGGGCAGAGACGGTACTGCTGAATGAATTGGTTCGATCTTCAGAAGGAGTATCGCGAGGAGTGGAGACAGTTGCTCCAGCGGCATTTGTCACCTGAGGGTGTGAAGGAGGCGTACCAGTGGCAGGGCACAAGCGACGATTCTCGGTGGTACTCGATGGTGGCAGACTTGCCACCCGAGACCCTCTGTAATTAGCATGATGCCTCTGCCAATGCATGCTTCTGCCGGTCTTCCCACTCAAGAATCTTCAGCAAGGATCAATTCCTCCCGGCCAACGCTCTTTCAGGACGGAGATTTCGGCTTAGACCTGAACCCTACGGGGGAAAATATGCAGTGATGCAGGGGTCTTGGGGGGCCAAGTCCCAGCCAGACGCATTCATTGTCAATGCCGAACACCTGACGACCTCGCCGACCTCGGGGCCGTCAGTGTCAGCTGCATCAACACCAGTGGACCCTTCCTCGGCGCCCAGGTTGAACCCAAAGCAGAAGACCAGTGCCTTGCCCTGCCGGTGCCAGTGCCCTCGAACCTCTGAAATCACTGGTCCACAGACCACGCGTGCAGTCTCATACCACCTCACATGGCAAGTTCTCTTCCACAGTGGCGAGTCTTTCATGTTTGTTTTAGTCGGTTTCTACAGACCGCAGAGTGCCGGGCTCCCAAGAGGGGGCACTGGTCCACATCCACTCGTCCTTTTAGTGGAGAAGTTGGACAGTTGGAATGACCCCATTCCAGGGATTTCACTATAGTTGAAAACAGGGACAGCCAAGGAGAGCCATTGGTCAAAGTGTAAGTTTTGTACAGTTTGATTCGTGTTTGTGCATAGTTTGGGTGTTAGATAGATGTCGCTTTTCATGGCAAGAGGAGAACAAATAACTTGCAAAGCACTGGGTTTCCCTTTTAAAACGTGAGACTGCCAGAACCCACTTGTGATACGAGGAGCTAGGCTAAAACCCAAGTGATTGGGAGGGCGCGCGCACGCAGAGTTGCACCCAATTGATTACTTGCCTGTCTTCTTGCTATTCAAGAGCATACTTTGTTTGACTGCTTTTTGGCATGTCAACAAAAATTGCGCATGTGCTGCATGTGTCTTTCATATATGTGATATAGACTTGTAACCCAGCTTTAACGTGATCCCTTTTGGAGTCCCTTTTTAACGTGATCGATCAAACAGAAACGTCCAGAACCAGGACGTCATGTTTGACTGACCGGGCGCCGTCGGTCGTGGCGCCCGGGAAACGCGGGAGTGTTTCCCCAAGGAGTTGATTGAAGGTTCGACGATCTGACAGTGGTCAAGCTGCCGAGCCGGGCTCCATTTTGGTCAATCCCCTATAGCCCACCTGAAGGATCTCAACGGCGGAACCAGCGCAAGGTTCAAGGGAGTCGGAACTGTGCACGGATCTTCACGCCTTGCGGAGCGTCTCTAGGGCCTTCAGACCTGATGACCCGTTTCGCCTCCAGTCGTATCGTTTCGGTTCGGTGAGACCGGGGGCCCGGGGTGCCAAAACGTCGGGTCCAGTCAGAACCTGAAGCGGTGAGGTTCGGTACGATGTTTCGGTCCCCAGCCACAGTGGTTGCGTTTAAAAAGGTTGGATTCCCCCAAACTCCATGCATGTCACACGGCACAGTCTAGACCTCCAGAAGCTGTGACTTTGGGTGCTTTTTGGGGGGGTTTTTGGACTCAGATCGACTCAAGAACCCCCTTTCCCCCTCATTTGTTCCCCTCAGAATCAAGCACCCGACCTCCTGGGGTCCGACCTCGACGTAGACGTCGAAGGTCTGTCGATCTAACCCTGAAAATCGCCAACGACTCGAGGATAATACTTAATTACCCAGAGGCGACCCGTTCGGCCCCGAACCAACTCCTACATGTTTGAGGTCCAAAACCCGGGCGGACTGAGGGTCAAAACCCTCGCGGACTGAGGGTCCAATGAGCCTTTGGGTATAACCTTTTCCAGTTCGACTCAAACCGAGACATGGATTCCTGATATTTCAGTTTCGCTCAAATACTGTACCTACCAACCCACCAAGCCTCAGTTCCTTACTCATGATCTGCCTCAAACCTGCTGGCCACAAGGCGTATTTCTTCGTTTCGCGCCGTGGAGGGGAATCGTTTTCGGTTGTTCTGAGGTGGTGCTACCCACGACGACACCCCAAAGCGTCCAAGAGGAGTTGGCCTTCTACGGCGCGAAGGCGTGGGGTCTTCTTCTTTAAGGACAGGTGTGTGTGTGTGTGTGTGTGTTTTGCGTTTTCGGTGTGTCGATGGTGCGTTGTTGTTTTTTACTTTTGGGGAGGGAGGGTGTTGTTTTTGATTGTTTACGGATAAAACAAATAGATGTTAAAAACAAACAACTATTTTCTTTGGTGGATGGGACTGATATACCCCCGTGATACCCTGAAGGAGCACTTGAACCTCTCATTTGCCTAAGAGTTTTGGTTTTGCATGTGTATGGATTGAAAACATAGTAAACATGGGGTTGACCCAAAACAGTCTTTGAGACTTGAGCTAAAAGAACGGCTTCCATTTTACAGCAGCGGGCAAATATAGTTGTTCATTATACAAAGTATCATCCCGGCACAAGGACAACACATATTCCAATATATTGCAATCTTGTGGTGCAGATCCCCCCAAACATGTTTGTCGATAATTAGTTACCTGTGTATTTACTGGTGTCCTGGCAGACTTGCATACCCGAAGCTCATTGTCAGCTCGTTCCACTTCGACCAAAAATTCACTTCGACCACGCCCCCGGTTCCTTAGTCCAGCTGCCACGGATGGGACAGACGTGATTCCTCTCCGTCGCCAGGTCATGGTCCATGGGAGTGTTTGGGACGAGGCGCCGTCGTTCACGCGGTGCTCGCCGCGACCTCTTCGTTCGCTGGTGCAGTGCATCATGGCCGATGTATTTTGGGGGGTGAAGTTCATCTCGACCCTTCAAACGGTTTTGCCATATTTTCCTTTTTTTGGAAGCAGATTGGTCACTTACAGTTTCAGAGCCTCCCTGGCACTGGTGGGCCCCCAAGCTTGAGAGTTTATATAAGTCCCATACCAGTGGATTGTCCAACCAGTCAGTCGTCCTGGATAGAATAAGAGGTCATGGTCTAAAGGTGTTCCATTATACACCCTGGAAGACGAACACATGGACCCTGAAAACCACTGGTTGGTAGAAGGAAAACACTCTTCCAGGGAACCAGGACGTCAGGGTCTATGTCAGTTTTCGGGAGTGTAAGTTATAATGGGTCCAGGACCATCCTGTCCTGCTGGTCGGCCCCAGTGAAGGTCGACCACTCGAAATGGAGAAGTACGAACGAACGAACGAACCTCCCTTGGACCAGTACAGAAGTACGGAGGCACCTGGACCCTATGGGGAGCTGCACACCTCAAATGAAGAAGCTACTAGTAAGAAAGTGCATCGCTACGAACGGAGCAAGAAGCTATGAACGGGGCTCCTGGCCTTACTAGTAGGAAGCAACTTGGTCGAGTCGTTGGCAGTGTCGTTGAACGGCACCGATCATCGCTGGCCTGCGTTGTCTTTGACCCCTGCTGTACTCCTTGATCGCCCGCCCCCCACCCTCCAAGTAGCGCCTTGTTCAACCAACACAGACCGCCGTCTGCTAGGCACTCGTTTTTGGGTTCACGCAAGGCTAGCCGCCAGGTTTGGGGTCCAGGAGTGGGTCTTAGGTTGTTGGGGACCTGTGGAGCCAGGCCTTTTGGGGGACCTTTGGAGCCTCAGGCGGACCAGAAGGCGCGCGAGGTGGTCAAGGACCGGAAGGGCGCTTATGTCCATCCCTTTGACCAGGCGAGGCGGAAGGGGAGCACAGCTGGGTGGCAGAAGGGGCCCATGTCCAGGTTTATTTCGTCGATCTTCTGCCCATGTTGCATCCTTGGACCGATGACCCTGTTTTGGTCAATGCTGGTTGGGTGCACTTCTTCGTTGAGGAAGTGGAAGGTGTGGTTGGCGTATTGGAACATGTGCGAGAGATCAAAGGTGGCGCTCCATGTGTTGTTTGTCACTGTGGCGCCGGATCCATACCAGCACCTTCCAAAGTCACTTAGTCACTTAGTCGAAACTTCCACGTCCCAAAGAGTTAAAACCAACCAGAATCACTAACCAGGGATAAAGAGACGGCAACAACACTATAGGCCTCCCAAGATCTCATGAGATCTGAGCGGGTCCCCGTTCAGGGTTCACCATCCCATGTCCTTGGAATCATATATGGGAGTTATTCAAAAGGTCCTTGTAAGGGTTTTTAATGTCGAGAGCCGTTTCGCGCAGAATGGCCGTTTCAATAAACAATAATATTGGACAACCACCATATAGTTTATAGTTCTCATCATACCACCTATCGGACCTGTCATGACTTAACATCCCAACCTGGGTTTGTACGTGAATAGTTCGACTTTTTGGAAGAAACATGTTGAAACCCGTTGGCTGGGCGTCTCCCTTTAAAGTACACACCGGTTTTGGTAGAGTAGAGACCCACACGTTTTTTTTCTTCAGATCCCCATGATCATTTGACGTACTTTGGACTTTGGACCCACTTCATGAGGACCAGCGTTGAGCTTGCGACCTGCCGTTGGTGAGCAAAAAGAAGACACCGATCATATTCTTTCTCTGTCAGGCAAGCCTCGAGATGTTTCAAGACGTTTGTTCCACAAAGTTCAGATACCTGAAAAGCTTGTCTTGGCCAACAGGACTCCTAGTTCAGATGGACCAAGGATTTTGGTCGGACGGCCTCTGACAACATCAACCTGGCATCCTTCGGTCCGCAAAGTTCACTTGTCCCAAAAATATAGGTTGCCATACTTGGACTTCTCAAATGGTGGACACAGGACACACTAAAGCCAGTGGGGAGGGGGCCCCAAGGAGAGGTCCCCTCCATGTCTTTCGAAGTGTTGGACCCTGGAACACCGAACCAGACGCTCATGGACCCAAATTTTTTGGAGGTGTCTGGGGTTTCTCATGGTTGCTTACCAATCCCGATCGGTTTGGTTCGGGACCAGGTTCCAGGCCGTGTGAGAGAAACACGGAGCGTTTGGGATGGACTCAATTGGTCTCCGGACGGGGGGAGGTCCAAGGGTCTTGGACTTTGGAGGGTCCTTGGCATCGTCTGGGATCCATTCATTCATCGTCCGTCCGTCCGCGTGGCCTCAGGAGTCCACTTGGCGAGGCCATGCCACCTTGCTCGAGGCACCGGTCGCGTCGACTGGGAGGGTGGAGACAATCCTGACATGTCAAGTTTGGTTTGGGTCTCTTTGTTTGGGGTATAGTGTCTGGGAAGGTAGATGTACATCCACCAAGTGTTGTGTTAACGCGTTGTTTTTGTTCCTCTCAGAGTAGGGTTTGGTTGTTTCATCAACTCACTGTTGTTGATTTTGCCATCTTCTAGATGGTGACGTGGGTGCACCTGTCAGAATATCAGGGGATCGGACCAGACTTCAGATGACATGTTTTACTCATGTGTTTGTTGTGTGTTGATCTTCTCTCCTGGGATTGCTCTTTGCTACAGAGAGACCACCTTGCGTATGCAGGAACAGACTGCGATCAGCGCTGACGATTTGGTATGGCGTTTGATTTCGAGTTTGGATCAAACCGTAACAGGTTTGATCAGTACGAAAGATGGATCATTGAATCTGTCACCAGCAGACAAGGATGTGATTTTGTCTTACGAGTCACTCCTGATGATCCCACCTGGTTCTTCCCACACTGGCCTGAGGACCACCTATGCCTCAGACTCCGGGGACGGGAAGTACGCAGCTTGTGGTGACTGCCCAAGAAGCAGGTCAACAGGTTTTCTTAGGCTACAGCCATGGACAGTTGGCGCAATCAGATCTGCTTCAACTGGATTCGAGGCAGCCTAAGTCTGCGCACATGGCGGAGATGCATGCACTCATTTGGGCAACCTGGTGGATATACCGTGTCATTTTGTCTCTCCAATGGCACGGAGAAGTGCATTTTGTCTGGGATGCCTGTGCCGCAGGAGGGAAAGCTGATGGTGATTACTATTCCGGAGACTCGCTGGGTAGTATTTTGAGATGCCTTCAGCAAGCTCTGCAAGCCAAGGGCATGCTGTGAAAATATCAAACCCAATCTACTGTATGGAATCATACTGTTATC